CAGTTCATGCGTCTTGTGGCCCAGTACATCCCTGGGTAGGTTACTATGTGGAGCCACTGGTGCTCATCCCGTGGCTGGTTCTCGTGATCGCTAACATTTACATGTTCGTTCAAATCGTACGTGCTTTGGACAAACGCAAGGACATCACTAACACCACAGCAAATGAGACACCTTCTAGGGTTCTACAAGTCCGAAACCAGTTTGCAATCATGCTGATTGTTAATGGTACTGTTTTCTTCATATGCCAGACACCAATTCGGCTTGTCAACATCTCCTACATGATCTGTTTTGTCGCAGGGATCCCAGAAAATCCTCTCGTCATGGCGCTTGGCGGGAGCTATTCAGTCTGGGTTGTTCTTCTTCCTCAACTGACAAACTGTTTTGTGAATCCGTTGATCTACGGCGCCATGAATGCAAACTACCGGGCAGCCTTTCGTCAAGCATTCCAATGCATACGGCAACCAAGACAGGCTTCTCGCAGTCAACGAGCCTGTGCCGTAATAGCAAGAAAAAACATCGATGATGCAGAAAACGGCCAGCATGATGTACAAATGAACACTTGCTTGTAAAAGCAGCAAACGTCGTCTTGACCTCATGGCTTGTATATTGAAAATCATCTTTGTAAGTGGCATGTACACATATTATTCACCTTCAGTGCAGCGCCCTCAGGAAGCATGGATAATTTTACAAGTTTTAAAATACGGTTGTAAAAGAGTTTTCACACATTGAAGGAGAGTACAAAGGTACAGAAAATATTCATTGCCCCTACTCTTTAACCAGTGTCATAAGCAGAGCAAATATCTTGGGGATGATCAGAATTAAAGGGGTCTGTACAAATACTTCCTGTGCATTTTCTATTCTTCAGTGTATAAAAACTGTTTGACGTGCCTTTGGGTAAAGCATGTTAAAAAGTACAGTTTTTTGCAACATTTAAAATTGTGATGTCATTTCTGGAAGAAACATGTTACACTTGTTTTGTGCCTCAATATTTGTCTCAATTTTTTATATTTTTCTATTTTAAATGCGTTTTTTCCTTGCAGAGTGTTTTCAGTTAATTTTTGACTGCCTTTTAGAACAGAAAAGCCAGGACATGACTCGATTCTTCTGGAATGAGGCGTCACAGCAACAGTGCCGTCATTTTCCAGGAAATGCACGGAATGGTCTTACTGTTTGAAAAAGCACGTTTTTCAGTCAGATTGATCAAAAAAGGAAAATTGCACAAAATATGTTCCCAAGTAAAATTCATTTCATAGACGCATTGCATGGTAGCCATCTTGCTGAACAATTCTTTCATTCCACTGGGAAACCTATTTTGTGCATACCCTGTGGAACCAAAGCACTGGCCTGCAAGATGGCAGCTATGGAAACCCTCTATTATTGGGCCAGCTGTACTGTATATCGGTATGTGCATGGAAGTATGTTGCAGTAGTGGAAGAAGTGTGAGTACCTGTTCAAATCTCTCCATACATCAACATTGAATAGGTTAAATATTCTCTTTTGATTCCTTCCGATACTGCTATAAATGACTCCCACACAGAGCAAAATCTGGTCAGGTGATCACAGCATATCATGGAGGTCCTTGAAATATCGGCCTTCAAAGAAAGACAAGACAGGGCAGCCAACTCTTGAGACATGGCCAATCACCACAGATCTGACTTGGAGACATTTATAATATTGTATAGTATTTTGTACTGCAACTTCACAATTTGCAGTGACCCGAGGAGCCACCTCAGAGCAATATTTGTTGCAACAAGCCCAAGTACACAGTGACCAAGTTTCAGGTGAACACACGGTCCCCCTCTCAATTGTTGCACAGTTTTCTTGGATTTTGTGTGGGGGAGGGGGGAATTAGACTAGCAGACAAGATTACCAGTGGATGATTTGGAGCTGTAATTGCAGTTCAGTTTGTCAGCTGTCCCTGCGTATACAGATGGCCAGATTACATTTACACACCCTGTGGCATAAACTTGCTATAACCTTCAGACTGTCGTCGCTTGATTTGTACTTTAGCCATAATTGTACACTTGCCATTACCAGGGACCCTCCCGTGGCACATAATTAGATGCAAGGATTCCACAGTGCGGCAGTTTAAATTTTCGTGCAGTCTCTTGCCTATTGTGCATGATAATAACCCAGTTATTGTGTCTTAGCATCAAGCATTGCTGTCAGGTCGTTAGACCTGAGATGGGCATCGCTGAAGTTAGTTGTCTATGCAGTGATGTACACGTGCTGTCAGTTCCAATTACTTATAATTGCTCCTGTTGTGTTTATAACCATCCAGGCCACTGAATCATGCCAATCTTGCTGTCTCCGTAACTCTACTCATTTGAATTCTTTGAGTAAATTGCTGTTCAGCGAGTAGTTTATGACAGCTATTTATGACTGGTTCTCCAGCCCCTGTCCAGTCTTTTTAATGAAGTGTTGCATTTACAGCTGTAAGCATTGAGCATTGTAGCATGCTCATGGAAGTTTAAATCAGTAAGATAGACCAAGATATAAGAACTGATTAAGGAAATCTCAAATTGGGAATGCTGTGAATTGCTGCAGTTAATCAGTCCTTGAAGATTTGTCGTATCAACTGCATTGCAGGTTGTTTAACTGAAATATATATCATCTACCAAGTGCAGTGGAAGCAACTCGATGGCTTTACACCCAAACAAATGTCACATTTATCACCACTGGTGTACCAATTGTTTTATGCACCGGTGTGGGCACCAACGTAACTTTTCTGTTTGTCTTGATCCGTGTTTCAACAATGCAGACCAACACAAATGTATTCCTGACAAACTTGGCTCTGGCTGATCTTCTGTTCCTGACCCTATTTTCAGCACTTATCCTTTGGAGGTATGCCATTTCTCCATTGGTGTTCTCCAATCCATTTGTAAATTCTGCTGGTTGCACCCTCTTTCATCTCCTGCTTGAGACGAGACATTATAGCTCCATTGCATTGCTTACTATGGTAATATGTGAGAGATACCTTGCTCTGTGCAATCCATTGAAGCATCTCCAAATGCGTGGCTCTCAGCGTGTCTCCAAAATTGTTTTAACCTGTTGGCTGGTTGGCTTGATGCTTGCATGTATTATAGTACCTGAGGTAGCACGTTTCCGCAAGTGGTGCGTGCAGTGGCCCAATGGAGATGAGTATCAAGACTTGCCATCAGCAATGGTGGACTGCATTCCTGTCAAGCCCAGGGTAGAATTCTACAACCCACTGCCTCAAAGTGGTCCCTGGTTCCTTGTCATGGTTTGTAACCTTTATTTATGTGTCAAACTCGTACAAACTTTGGTCAAGCAGGTAGCAACTAAAAGTACATGTAGGTTTGGCAGAAGTCGGAGGGCCCAACGAAGAAAGAGACAAGTGGCAGTCATGATCATTGTCAATGATGCGGTGTTTTTCCTGTGCCAGATACCTTTTCATGCATTTAACATCATCAAGTGGATCTGCCTGATAGCAGAAAAACCCAGCCCTGTTGACGTTGCCCCCAGATCTGATCAGTACTGGCTGGCAAATTTCAACACCACCATTAATCCGTTCATCTATGGCGCATTGAATGCACATTACCGTGCTGCATTTCTTGGGCCTGCAGCTTACCCAGAAAGCAACGGAACATGTCACATCCTCCTGTGATTTCGAGGGAAGACTCAGACCAGTGAGAGGACTAAATCTGACATGTGCAACAAGGCACTTCTTTAGACTCACTGCGTGATCAGCACTTAATTGATGGCCGGAGTGATGTGTTGATTCTTCATTTAGGGGACCACTCACTTGATATTTCCCAGAAATTTTGTTGTGTTGGAACGTTAGAATTTCACTGAAAAACAAATTGTGATGCACAGAAATCAGCTGTCAATTTTATGCCAACATTGCCAGACGTATTGCTGAATTCAAGAGTTAGTAATTTTATTTAGACAACACTGTGACTATTTTCAAAGACTTGGGCAAAATTATTCTTTGAGTTTGTCTGGTGGACCAACTTGTACATTCTCATCATCTGCTCAGAGTAGATCACCTCTTGTGACATTTGGATGTCTCTAACCATGTTCCAATGTTAAAAGAGACAGGTCATTGAGTCCTAGTTACTCGGAAAGCTCACTATGGAAAGAGTCGTAACATCTCAACAATGACAACTCCCAGTTGGGCCACTTATTCCTAATTCCGGTTCATTTTTTTTGGAGGCAGTCGTCCTCCATCACATTCATAGTTGTGCAATCTGATCATCTTTCAGCTACCTGCATGTATTTATCTGAAAAACAAATGAAATCCAATGCAGCGTGTTGCTTTTCACATTCACACCGAAGGCATAAACTGCTGAATATGCCTGTAATTGACTCCACAATTACAATGAGCCCCGGCTGGACCAAGAGAGGTTGCAGTTTTCCCAGCAACGGAGGCTCCTTTGCATGGAGCTGCACTTCACTGGTTCATAAGCAACTGTGAAAATGAAGGCATCAGGGTCGCATCACTACTAGCAAAATGAACATTCTCAGTTAACATTGCTCTTTTTGACCAAGGAGGGGGTGCTTCTGCTTTGGGCGGCTAGTGCCCCACAGGAAGAAGTGAAGGCATGATAAGGATGCACTTGGTCAAGCCTGTATGTGACAGCATATCAAACGAGACTGTTGATTGGCCAGAAGGGAAATTGCTTTTGAAAAATAGCTTAGATTTTGTCAGTACTGCATTTTATTGTCCTATCACAAAGTTTGTTCACAGTCAATATAATCTGTCCCAAAGTAAAAACCACTGTGTTTGGTTTTTTTTATCCCACAGATATGCTTAATCTGTGTACATGTAAATTGGCCCATAGACTGAAATCATAGGTCTGGATTCAACTATATTGAACCTGATGTTTTATTGGCATTTTTTACTTTTCCTGCATTTTAATAACAGAAGTATCATTCATTTGCTTCCAGCATTGCCTTCGGGTGCCATTAAGGTATCTCTGGTGATTGGTCTGAATGCACTGATGCATTCAAAATAATCAATAATTCAATTTCGCTAGCTAGAAATTACTTCTTTTCATGATAAATGTCATTTAATTGTCTGAATGGTTCATTGCAGTCTTGTTCCTTTTTTACCCATTATTTTCACATCATAATTAACCCTGAGAGTCCACAATTCTTCACTTGGAGAATTGAGGACTGTTCAGCTTACAAGCTCTCCAAATTGCCTGGACTGTGGTATACACATGATTGCTACTCATTGCAGGCCCTCGTCCAGTCAACTTCAAGTGTGCAGTACCCAGTGTCGCTTCTCAGAAGTCTGAAATACCACTCACTACCCAGTGTTTTGATCATTCTTACATACGTATGAGAGGTTTAGTCAGTCAACAAGATGGGATCAGACATATCATCAGTAGAGTGCAGTGCACATAAGAACATCAGTGAGGCTGAAGCATCTCGATGGCTTTACACCCCAACAGATGTCACTTTTATCACCATTGGTGTACCAATTGTTTTGTGCATTGGTGTAGGCATCAACTTAACTTTTCTGTTTGTCTTGATCCGTGTTCCAACAATGCGGACCAACACAAATGTATTCCTGACAAACTTGGCTCTGGCTGATCTTCTGTTCCTGACCCTATTTGCAACAATCGTCCTTTGGCGGTATGCCTTTTCCCCGGTGGTGTTTTCATTTCAATTTGTAAATTCTGCTGGTTGCACCCTCTTTCATCTCCTGCTTGAGACTGGATATTATAGTTCCGTTGCATCGGTTACTATGGTAACGCATGAGAGATACCTTGCTCTGTGCAATCCATTGAAGCATCTCCAAATGCGTGGTTCTCAACGCATCTCCAAAATTGTTTTAACCTGCTGGCTGGTTGGCTTGATGCTGGCATGTATCACAATACCTATAGAAGCCCTTTTTCACAAGTGGTGCGTGCAGTGGCCCAATGGAAATGAGTATCAAGACTTGCCGTCAACTGTGGTTCACTGTGTTCCTGTAAAGCCCAATGTAATATTCTACAGTCCACTGCTTCAAAGTGGTCCCTGGTTCCTTGTCATGGTTTGTAACCTTTATATGTGTGTCAAACTCGTACAGACTTTGGTCAAGCAGGTAGCAACTGAAAGTACATGTAGGTTTGGCAGAAGTCGGAGGACCCAACAAAGAAAGAGACAAGTGGCGGTCATGATCATTGTCAATGGTGCGGTGTTTTTCCTGTGCCAGATACCTTTTCATGCATTTAACATCATCAAGTGGATCTGCTTGATAGCAGAAATACCCAGCCCTGTTGACATTGCCCCCAGATCTGATCAATATTGGTTGGTAAATTTTTTTTACCTTTTCAACATCATCATTAATCCGTTCATCTATGGTGCATTGAATGCACAGTACCGTGCTGCATTTCTTGAGGCCTTTGGCTGCAGGTGCAGACCCATGAATCGACGGAACATGCCACATCCTCCTGCAAAAGAAGACCTTGACCAGCGAGAGGACCAAATCTGATATTTGGAACTTGATACTTCTTTAGACTCATAGCGATGAACAGTACTTACTTGATGGCCGTAGTGATATGGTCGTTGTTGATTTGTGGGATTGCTTACCTGTTTTTCTATTTCAACCGAATCATTTCCCACAAAATGCCGTTGTTGATACATGTAGATGTTCACAGAGTAACAGTTTGTAATGCATAGAAGTTAGCCCTAATTTTTTTCTAATGTTACCAGATATGTTGCAGTCGTAACTCAAGAGTTACGATAATGGGTCTGTTGGAACAGTTTGTAAATACTTATCACTTAGAGTAAGTAGGACTCTAGGAATCACCTCTTTTAACATTTGGACGTCATGACCCTGTCCAAATGTTAAAAAGAGGCGGTTCACTGAGGCCTACTTACTCGGGGTACTTGTCACTATGGAATCAGGCATAACATCTTGACAAATTTTACAATTTCTAGTCAGGCCACCTCTCTTTGGTTCATTGTTTTGAGGCATTTGTCGTTATCACTTGCCTTTCATAATCCGATTTCTAGCAGGATACCTGCATGTAAGTACCTTTAAAAAAGCAAAGGAAACTCAAAGCAATATGCAGTGTGTTGCTGTTCACATTCACAAACCAGGCACAAACTGCCGGATATGCCAATAAATGGCTTCTACAATCACACTGGTGCCCCGCAGGATGAAGTGAAGGCATGGTAAGGATGCATTCAGTCATGCTAGTAAGTCTGTGGCACAAACCTAAGGAGACTGATGATTGGCCAGAAGGCAAGATACTTTTAAATATTGCTCCGGTTTTATAAATCCCTGGTTTTAGTTCCCTATCAGCAAATTTGTTCACACTCGGCATAAACTGTTCCATAGTAAAAACCACCGTGTTTAATTTTTTTATCCCATGGAATATCCTTTATCACGTGCTGTGTAAGTGGGCCACATACTGTAATCATAGGTCTGGATTCTACTTAACTGAACCTGATGTTTCGATGGGATCTTTTACTTTTTCCTGCATTTCAATAACTGAAGTATCATTCATTTGCTTCCAGCATTGCCCTCAGGTGCCATTAATGTATCTCCGATGATTGGTGCATCTTTTACTTTTCCTGAATTTTAATAACTGGAGTATCATTCATTTGCTTCCAGCATTGCCCTCAGGTGCCATTAATGTATCTCCGATGATTGGTGCATCTTTTACTTTTCCTGAATTTTAATAACTGAAGTATCATTCATTTGCTTCCAGCATTGCCCTCAGGTGCCATTAAGGTATCCCCGATGATTGGTGCAAATGCAATAGCATTCAATCTCACTCACCAGAAATTTGCCTCATTTATGATTGATGTCATTGGGCGTCTGAAACCTGTGTTCCCTTTATTACCAGTTCTCTTCACATCGTAACCGTGAGCGTCCACAATTCTTCACTTGTTGGAGAATTGTTTGGTTTACAACCTGTCCAAAATGCCTGAACTGTGATATATGTAGGATTGCTACTCAGACCCTCGTTCAATCAACTTCGAGCACGCAATACAAAGTGTCGCTTCTCAGCAGGCTGAAATTCCACTCACTGCCCAGTGTTTTGATCATTCTGACATGCACATGAGAGGTTTAGTCAGGCAAGTAGATCAAAACAAAACGGACTTGGGAGCCCTCTCATCTGGACTTCAGTGAATACTAAGCCAGTTATCAGTCATTGAAGATTGTGGAGCCTCCTTACACGACCTTTTCCTGAACTGACCATGGGATCAGACATATCGTCAGTGAAGTGCAGTGAATATCGGAACATCAGTGAGGCTGAAGCACCTCGATGGCTTTACACCCCAACAGATGTCACTTTTATCACTGTCGGTATTCCTGTACTTTTATGCGTTGGTGTAAGCGCAAACTTGACTTTTCTGTTTGTCTTGCTCCGCGGTCAGACAATGCAGACCAACACAAATGTATACCTGGCGAGTTTGGCTCTAGCTGACCTGCTTTATCTGAGCCTGTTTGCTACGCTCTTACTCTGGAGGCATGTCACTTCTCCGGCAGTGTTTACCTATCCATTTGTGAATTCTGCTAGTTGTTCCCTTTACTTTATTGTGCTCAGGACTGGATATTGTGGATCCGTTGCGTTTGTTACCGCAGTGACGTATGAGAGATACCTGGCTCTGTGCCATCCCTTTGAGCATCTCCGTATCCGGGGTCCTCGTCGAGTCTACAAAATTGTGTTAACCTGCTGGTTGGTCAGCTTGATGATTGTGTGTATTACAATACCAGAAGTGTCCCTTTTGCGCACGTGGTGTGTGCAGTGGCCCGACAGAGATGAGTATCAAGAATATCCATCAACAGTTGCCGACTGCGTCGCTGTGAAGCCTAAGGTAAAATATTACAGTCCAATGCTTCGAAGTGGTCTCTGGTTCCTCGTCATGCTTTGTAACACTTATATGTACATCAGGCTCATACACACTTTGGTCAAGCAGGTGGCCACTGAAAGTAGGCTGGGCGTAAGTCAGAGAGCCCAACAAAGAAAAAGACAAGTAGCAGTCATGATCATTGTCAATGGGGTGGTGTTCTTCCTGTGCCAGGCACCATATCACGCCATCATAATCGTTCAGTGGATGTACCGCATAGCAGAGACACCTAGTCCTATTGACATGGCCCTGCAATCCAATCAGTTCTGGGTGAGAAATTTCCCACAAATGGCTAACACCATTGTTAATCCATTCATCTATGGTGCATTGAATGCACAGTACCGTGCTGCATTTCTTGAGGCCTTCGGCTGCAGGCGCCGACCCAGGGAGGCACTGAACGTGCCACATCCTCCAGAGTGTGCCAGGGAACAACAGAGGCAGCAAGAGGGCCAAATCTGACATTTCCAGCAAGTTCCATACTGAATCGATGGTTGCCCTGACTCTGTGACTGTCTGCCCAATCGATCACGAGTTTGTTTCATATTCTCACCGACCATTGCTCCATTTATGTTTTGATGGCTTGGAGCAGAAAAAATTTTTTTGATGTATCCGTTACATTATTACAGTACAAAAGTACAAAAGATAATATATCATTACATTACATTGGATTTGCAGCAAACATGGATACAACTGGTGGTCTGCATTGATTGCACACACTTCAAATTACATGTATATCCAGGATAATGCCGTAATGCACATGTAGCGTAAGGTGTAGCGGAATGAATTGTTTGATTGGTTTTGAGGAGGTATTTCTGAGACAGCTTTGTTTTTGGGATTGGCTGGTTGTATGGTTCACAGCAATAGAGCCTTTGTGGGCTATTCCTGAAAAATCAAAGATAAGTGAGAAATTGATAAACGTACAGAGATATGACATCAAATTGTATTTCAGAGAAGGAACGTGTTTGTTTTTTTTCTCATCTTGACTGCAACTGAACAAAATAGGGACTCATTTTCAGCAGAATGTGCACAAACCTGTACATATTTTTTGCACAAAAAGAAAGCTGCCTTACTAAAATGGCTCTTCAGCCTTAATGCTGCAGTCAAATAAAATTGTTTCTGGTCAATACTCTACTGGGCGGCAAGTTTTAAAAAATGTTGTGTTTGTACCTTTCTCTTAAAAATATTTTCCACGGTTGACCACGTGTGCCTAATTAATGATATTCATTGAAGTGTTTGTGATATATACATGTATATACAAGTGTACTTACACCAACCAATATATTTAATTCTATTTAATAGGTTAGTAAATGCATATCAATAAGTGGTAATTCTACACTTTATTTTAAAGACCAGATGCGTAAGGAAAAAGTTTGCAGTTGAATTTTTAGCTGCAAGAAATTGATACAGTTACGCTTGCACAATTTTTGGCCTTGTGGAAATGGTGAGAGTGCTTACAGCTTAGAATGTAGTTATGCACAGCACCTTCATGTACAGTGAGCAATGTGAGATCATCCCTAGACTAGATCTTAATTATGCAGACATGTTCATTCAATTGAGTAGCTCTTATTTAAGATTTAAACTTTCATTGAAAGTTTTAAGCTGCTTGAAAACAAAAGTTTAAAAATACAAAGTGTTCCCATCCCAAACAATTTGGGTAAAATTATGCATACAGGACTCTCTATGGATGGTTTATGTGGGAACATTTCAAAATCCAAAATCTCTATTTACAGATAACTTTTGATGGAATTTTGCCCTAGAATGATCTAAAATTGCAATTGCTTTTATTCTCCACTCGGATAAAAGTTCCACAAGACTGCCTTTGAACCATCAAACTAGAAAGCTGGAATGTGTTTGTGCTTACATGTACATGTAGATATATAGGTTGAAAGTGAAATGCAGAGATCAAATGATAGGGAAGCAAAGTAATGTTTTCTTCTGTAACTTATAATTCATATTTTGATTATTATGTGCATTCATCAACGATGGTAGAAGAATCATAGATGTACAATTTTATTGTTCAGAACAGCAAAATACTAAATGTGTTGTGAAAAAGTCAAGAACAAGTTTTATTAACCTTGATGTTATTGTAATTGAAATAAATTATTTCTTAAATCTGATTTATTTTGGTGCTTTTACTATAAATCACTTGAGTACTGTGAAGATTTTCAAAGCAAGGAAAAGGCACATTATATTCAGTCCTTATTTGCAGATGGGACAGTTACTTTCGAATTGTAATCTGGTTCTGTGTACAATTGAACCAAAGCCTGCGTAAGAGCAGTACCTCGCGGGTTGAACATGGAATCCAGACTGCATTTGAAGCTGTTGGGGGGGAGTATGTGGCACATTGCCCTCCTCGTCCCCCCAGAGAAAAATTTCCCTCCACTCATGGAAACTTGTGAATACTATTCACTCAAAGGGATTACTGACAGAAAGACTACTTTGCTGCAGGCTTTCTGCATTCTATGAAGAGCTACTATTTCGGGTGTATTTTCACTCTTTAATGACAGAAAAAAGAGAACAAAACAGTGGTTAATTACGTACTTGTTCGTTTTTTGCCATGTAGTTTGCATGTCTTCCAACTATTGACTCATTAGAGGGAAAATGGGTGCCATGTACCACCCCCCCTAAAAAAATGGGACCAAACATTTGGTTTTCTTGGGTGTTTTGTTTCCACTCCTTTCAAAAGTAGTTCAAAGTTCTTTCGCCTCACCCCCGGCCTCAGAAAAGCAATTAATAAGTGGTCACATTAAAGAAATCTTTAATTTTTATGGGCCCCCAAATAAAATCCAGACATCTGGATCATCATCCAGACATCTGAAAGACATCTGCACTAGTAAGTAGGAGGTCGTGGGTTCGAGTCCCACCCGAGTAAGCTTGTGAGGTTTTTTTGCAAGCTCTCGGCCCACTGAGCATACAGTGCTTATTAATATACGTTGGGTAAGGGCAAAAACCGTTATATATATAAATAAAATCCACTTCCCCCCCAACTATGGTGCTTCCATCATGCTACATAACCAACGAAAGTGTCAGTCTCCATGGCAACCAACCAATTGGGCTCTACGCTTCACTGTGTTTGCAGTGGAATAATGGTTTAATGAATTAAAATCTGATGACAGCTATTCATATTGTGCAATCCAGTATGTGGTGGGTTTTGGGCGCTCATCACGTCTGTTTATCCCTGCTGACCGCAGCGAAACATTTCCACAAACCATTACCGGTGTTGTCAGGGTGATCAACCACAGATAAACTCTCTGTGCGTCCTCCATCCATTAGTGCTCGTGGGTAGAGAGAGGTACATTATACGTGTAGGTGTAAGTGACTTGCCCATGGTCTCCCTGTAACAGGATTTGAACCCCGCTCTTTGATCAGGAATTGCAAGGCCTGCCACTGGGTCAGACACTCCCACAGTATAGAGGGGCCATACAAGTGGTAATAGATGCCCCTCCCTCACCCCATCCCATGTACAAGTTTGCAAAATGAAGACATGTAAAAGTAACTGGTAAGGAAATCAAGGATCTTGCAGATACTGGCAAATGTCCTGTCAATTTACTCATAATTGCTTATTAATTACTTGAATTAAATAATTCCAAAAGGGAAGGGCCAGTTTCAAGGATATGATGAGACAACCAATATCTAGCCCCCTTTGATCATTCCCTGGAACTTGGGCGTCCACATTTGGAAAGAAGAGTTGGAGGCATTTTGGAGTCGGCATCACTTTGGATTAATGCATTACTTGGATAAATTCTCGGTAATTTGGAATGAGTTATTGGTGATTGGGATCATTAGTTTTGCTGAAAAGACCACAGGCACAATCAGCAGACAATTGTATTGATGCATTGCCATGTTGTCATATCGAAGAGCTTTGGAATATAACTCACAACTGAAATTCAGCATGTGAAGCAATCATACAGTCCAATCAGACGAGCGAATTAGGTCACGGACCATGTACCCAGGGATGTGCACGTAAGCTCAGAGCTGGTTCAATGCATGTTACGGCCGGCACAATATCAAAGCAGAAATTGAATTGGATTAACTCTAATAATAAAACATACCGGTATATTCCTGTCTACCACTTTGTTTTCTTGTAATATTTTAAGTCTAAAAATATGCTGCTCAAAATATTTCACCCTATACATTCTGAGAAAAGTGTACCACAAAATTGGGGAATTTTGCCTCATTAAAACTTTGTTTCTGCTTGAAATCGATAAGTGAAGAAGATTTATTTGTCAAAATGAATAGATTTAAGCACCGCATCGGTGCTTCATCTTGGCAGAACCACGGCTGCACTGTACATGCTGCATGCTGCAACGCGTGTCATGAGGTCGCGAGTTTTTTTCGAGAAAGTCAAGAGCGCCTGCGGGGGTAATAACAATCCGTAACACGCATGGAACCAAGGTCGCACATGTTTGCACTGGGGCCGCTCGCGGTTGCACATCCCTGGGTAAATGGTCCATGTTCATCTTTGATCCATTAAAGCTCTGAAGCTCTGTTGCCGTGGTAGCAGAAACTATTTGGCCACAAATGAATCGCGATCAAGTAGCACCTGGATAATTCAGTGGATTCACCATACTTTCCTTGAAAATGATGGTGTCAAGCCGACAGACACTAAGAGCTGAGAAAAACGTCAACTGCTGTACATGTCTGCCATCATTTGTAAAAATATAACAACTGCAATTGTAGAAGAGTAGAGAAAGGGAAAATATGCAACCATTTTTTGTGTTTGGATGTTAGTTAAATCATCATGAGTTTTTCTTTAGCATGTTTTATTTATATACAAGAGAGAAAATTACAGCAAAATCTAACATCCGAAAAAACCTATTAATTTTTGAATGTACGTGATGGAAATGGAGGATTGGAAATTCTGCATCATAAAAAAAAATCACTCCCAGTAAGGTCAGTTATGCGATATTTGACTTTACTTGTGTATATTTACAAAGCGACAGAAAATGAAAATGAGAGGGTAGTATCAGCCATTGATGTGTCATAATTTCTTTGTCTGTTGCTAGGGTCGACTGGGACCAGGCCGAATCCATCACTGCATGCGTTTAATCGGCATGGCTGAAAGGTGCTTAGAGCTCATGGTGAGCAGGGTACAAGACCGTGTAGCCTTTGGCAAGCCCCTGGCCCAGCAGGGGACCATACAAGAGGCTATAGCTGAGTCGCGGATAGAGATAGAACAGGCTAGGTTACTGACACTCAAGGCAGCTCACATGATGGACACAGTTGGCAACAAGGCAAGTTGTAGCAAATCCTGTAATTCCCATAAATCTTAACCCAAATCAGCTAACTCTTACCCCTGAGATGGATTCTTGGGGGCAGCAAGTGGGGGCATGCACCCCCCCAAAAAAAAGGGGCCACAAACTGTTTTGTGTCAGTTTTAGAATGAAGAGAAAAGTGATTTTTTTTCCTGGAGGACTTTTATCTTTTCCACCTTTTCCTGAAATGTTTAAAAACCTCAAGATTTAGCCCCACCCCTCTGAAAGGCCATAAAAGATTTTAAATTGTTGTGATTCCTGAGCACCCACATGGCACCACTTTGAAAGTTTTTTGTTTTTCAGGTTGCTGCACCAGAGATTGCCATGATCAAAGTGGTGGCACCCAACATGGCCCAGAGGGTAGTGGACAGGGCCATCCAGGCCTTTGGAGGAGCTGGACTGAGTGCCGATTGGCCTCTGGCGTACTTTTTCTCCTGGGCCAGGATCCTACGGCTGGCAGACGGTCCAGACGAGGTGCACCGGAGGGCGATAGCTCGGATGGAACTGAAGAAATCATTGAAATGATGGGATGATCTTTCCTTGAAAGGATGCTTCCATTTGAAACCAAAAATTCCAGATTACAATGCATTTAGAGGCTATTTTCATGAGGCCACTCGGCACAATCTGCTTAGCAAACAACAGATTATGAACCAAAATGTCATGTAATGCAAATTGGCTATGACTGGTTCCCAGCTCAGGGGTTCTTAACACGATCATAGCTCAGGAAAATGGATCCAGAAGCCATTGGATATTCAGCAGTCAAAATGCAAAAATCTCTGGGAATGTACAACTTTTTCCTGGTATGCGAAGATTGCAAATGGTAATAATGGTATTGATGGCATTCACAAATCACTGGTCTTTTTCCAAAGTGTGGTTTTATCCCTGGCTTAAGCTTGAAGTATTGAACCTTTGTTGTCACATGAAGATAAATTGTTTTTGTGGAAGAAAAGTTACATTGCAGGTTAAACTCATGAAAATGAAGCACATAAAGCTGAGATCTGGAAAACTGCAGGATGCCTGGTAAGAAGTATAACTTCTATCTTTCAAATTCCAGACTTCCCTGCTGTTCTAAGGCAAGATTTCACCTTAATTGGTTCATGCATAGATTTGTTATCTGATGACGTGAGCAACACCTGTGAACCAGTGAAAAGCACCCCTCTTTCTCCATAACTGTATGGACAAGCTCGATCAGCAACAATTTTTTAACCACTGGTCAATTTTGCCCGGTGTCAGGTATATATTTCATGCATAGGTTACCAGTCTAAATTGACCACTGGTTGACAATTCGTCCCTGATAGTGTTGCAAAGCTTACATGACCCTTTGTGTTCATGCAAAGCAAGTAGTGTGCAGTACTTTAAGCACCTGTAAAGGTTTCCAACTGTCTCATGTCGGCAGATTTTCCACTGTACGGCAACGGGTACCCCCCCTCTTTTGTGTCTTCTTTTGTGTTGTAGGAATCTTGGAAATTCCTTTTGGATTTTCAGAGGGATGAGAACAGAGTCCCCAAGCGTATAGCTAAAGGCGTTACATTTTAGGGAGGGGTCCCCCTTTGCCATGTCATGCTGAATATCAATTTCCCTTATTTCATGTGGACTCATGACCAGGCGCAGGGGACCATGAATTCCTGCGTCCCTAAAACAAGTCTTTTTTTCCATCATTGTTTCTCTAAACCCAGATAGGTGCTTCACAGGTACATTTTTTCTCTTCCTATTACGTAGACGTTTGGAAGTGCTAGTTTGTCACCGTAAAAATGAGTAAACTGCTTTTTACGCTGAAACTATCAAAAGTTAAATGTTTTGAGTATATTGTCTATCATGCACAACAGAAAATTTCTATTTGACTATTATGGGTGACCCTGAAAAAATTGTAAGGAATCATGTTAGTGGCTGAAAATTGTGCCTTGTCTTTTTTATCCAACTATTCCTGGTTTTTGTGAAATTCAAACCACTCAGACTCATTAAGGCATTTATTGCTTTCTGTTTGGAAGGGAAATACGCCCTATTATAGAATTTGACTAGAAATCATAATGACCAAGTCTCCGTATTAAAGGTATTGTAAAATAATATCTGGAAAATTTAAGAGTGGTTGAATTGTTACCTTTCTCAATCCTACAAAATCCTCCCAAGGCCTTTGGGTATATCTTGAAGGGTCTTGAGGATTAGCCTCGAATTTGATGCCAAGTTCCTTCATTTGGATCTTAATTGTGTGGGAGAAGGGTTGGCATAGCTAAATTGCAATCTATTTCTGGCAGAGCTTGAAACCTTCTCTCACAACAGAAATGCCTATAATATCAGATTTACAAGCATAAAATACGATATCATTTTTTTCTCGTTGGTAATATAATCTAAGTTAGTAATATGTATTAGTTAAATTCAACCTTAACCCTTAAACTTTAATCCACAGAATGTGAATACAGCCGCTGGTTACACTGTGCATATTTACATTTGCCAATAGAGAAATAAAACAACTTTATAAAAAAAGACGTTACCAGAAATGAATTTAAAACAAACTAAAAAGTATTATATAAAAATGGGTCTGTGCCTATCCACGTTGCGTTTTGCAGAGCGTAAGTTATAGCAGTTTTCAACACAAACCTTAGCTTTCCCAACCAACTCTACGCATGAGTGGTCCATGCTTAATTGGCCTATTTGAGATATGGCAGACACACCAGGAGGGTGCTATTGGGTTCCTAAAAATCTATTGTATTTCACTCCAAATTTTACCCTCTTTAAATAGCGCCCTCCTATTTTGTCCATTTTCAAAAGGGCTAACTGCAGATGTACATACATGTATATTTACTTTTAATCCAGTCTTCATTGTTTTCGGTTTTATAAGTTTACTATCTCGTCACTATGGTTGTCACAGTGACCAACCATGAAGAGATGTCACCAGATCCCTCAAAATTAGTTTTATTGCCATTTAAAAAAAAAAAAAAAATCTTCTTTAGTTTTCGTTGAACAGAGCAAACTGAGCTCTTGGCTTTGAATATCCTCCAGTCCAGCATCCTGATGAAGTGTGAGTGCATGTGTTGAGGCTTGCTATATACACTGAGCCAGATGCTCTTCCAGGCCTGTTAGCTTGATAATGACTCTGGTCACTTGTGACTCGTTTGGGGGGGTTGGGTCGCAAATGAGCTAAAAAATGCACCACTATTCAGGACAGCCTTGCAGGACCACTATTGAAGCCAGTAGCTCATGATAACAGCCACAGGGGGGAACACTGCGGTCATATTTGTGTGAGTTGAGTTGTACAACGTAATACCTAAATGCAGCGGTGTGGCTAAGGGGGGGTGCATGCCCCCATGAAAAAAATGTCATCCCCCTCGCCCCTGCACTTGATGCGATCGAGATTATGTACATGTATAAATCCAACATTCAGTCACCCCCCCCACTTATACGTGAAGCCCCCCCCTCCGCTCAGAATTCTGGCTACGCTGCTGCCTAAATGTGAAGTCAAGAACTATGACAACAGGTATACTGTAACCAAAAATGTATTCTGAACTTCATTCAAAGAATTAGACACTACTCTTGACGAAGCATGTCCCCCTTGGCATATGGAAGATCAGAAGCTGACAATGTTAACCCTAACACTCCTCAGTCCTCCAACAGGTGAAGGATTGAGGAGGGTTAGGGTTAAAGTTAGGAATATTTTTACAGTCTAATGGTCTTGTCCAAAATGGGCAACATCATTGGTGGCTGAAGTCATTCACTGCTACTTGCTAATGGCCAAAATCTGAGTCATTTCCAAAAAATACTCAATTTGGACACCTGCTTTTACCCCTAGCATAATATTTGAGGTCACTGTCACTCTGAAACCATTCTGCATTTGTTGTCAGCAAAACTAACTGGAAGGTCAGGTGGAATCAATCAAGGTTCATGTATTGTTAACACATGAACAGGTGCATGGCTGAACTTCATTTGGCACTCTCTGAAGACTACAGGTGTGACTAATTTGACGTGTTAAATGATGGGCTGATGGACTCGAGTTGCGTTGATGGGGATGGTGTCCGAATTGTCTGTACAAACAAGATGAAAGAGAAAATAAAAGAGAGATTCCGAGGAATACTGCTTGGAACAACCACAGGGGTTGAAAATAAGTTGGCTAAATTTGGCAAAAAAATCAGCTCAGTTGCAGTCTTCCGTACTCTTGCTTTCGAGCATCTACAGAAAAATTCACATAATCTCACCAACTGTCATGTAGAAAAAAATGTGGGATTTGTTAGGCTTGATAAATGACAAAACGAACAAATCTTTTCCATCACTACAACAGCTACAAGTTCCATACAAGAAAAATTGAGAAATTTCAAACTTACATGAAAAGCAGACATTTTGAATCTGGAAACTTTACACAACTTTGAACAACTATGCGGTATGGAAAGCAGTGACTCTTTGTCTCATTTCCAGACATTTTACCTGGTCATAGCAAATATCTCTGAATTGCAAAAAGCAGTACATTTGATATTCACACAGTGCTGGCACTGTTATTCTGTTTCGAAGACGAACCTTGAATTTCCTACGTAGAGCCTTGGTCATGAGCGGCGTTAGTCCAGTGCCCTGACTCTCGCTCGGTTTGTTTCGCAGCGGTGTCCCACCTGGACTACGGACCATGCTCACTTTCCGCAGGCAGCCTCGATACTGCAGTGCCTCCTCAGAAATCCTACCAGGCAGAAAAATGTAAAAACGGTTTCCTCATCACTTGGGAACAATTTTATGAGTTTGAATTTAAAATTGTAACTGTTTCATGTTTGTTTTTTTTCCCTTGATTTTACAGCTTCTGTGATTTTCAGTCTTGTGTTTTCATGATTCAACTGTATACTTAACCCCTTGATGACGGGAATTTCTTCCCGAAAGCCGACTCCAAGAATTCCAGCCTTGCTTGGCCACGAAGGCCACCTGCCAAACCACAAATTCTCGGTTTGTGGCCCTGCGTGCTCTGCACGCTTTGAATTACACAGTAAAAAGGGTCATTGTTTGGTGGCATGCGGCTCTACTCACCCTTCCACATTCCTGTTGCCTCTTTTCAAAGTGGGGACCATTGTGAAGCTGGTGATTATGATGCAAAATCGGTCTTTTCATTTCTGGGCTATGCACAAAGACCAATTACCATATATACAAGAGCCAGGGTCTGCCTTCTTCCACCGTGTTCGCTCGAGCGTGGGCCGAGAATAAAAGCGGGCTGAGGATCTCAATTTTTACGGCAGCTATAGCCGCCTCCCGGCGCGAAGGGGTTAAAGCTTACGCGAGAGTACAAGGAAGGTTTTTTTTTAATAATAAATTGGAAATTTGTATTCAAAAGAATATCCGCTGATACAAAGTTCAGACCCCTGGCAAGGATTCTTACCTACTCCTTAGCACCATACCATTTACATTCTCATCATTGTTTTGATGCAGGGATCGTCTGTTCCTCAACTTGCCAGCCTTGAGGTCACCGTTTCCAACCTCATGCTGACCACTGGCTCCAGTCTTTGATGAAACCAAGAAAAACAAAAACCAAAGAATAAAAATTATAATTTAATCTTTAAAGCCATAAACAAAGACTTCTCATTTTGGCAGTACTGTAAACTTCAACAAGAGGCAACACACTACTCCAAGTTGGTTCTTGACATTCATGAGGCTACCGACTGATGTGTTATTCCTATTTTGAAACCCTTTTCATACCCAGTTTTGCAAAATATTGGTCAAATTTTCAGTGCAGGTTTTAAGTTTTCCATTTTACATGGGCAAAAGCGCTGATTTCCCAGCTGTTGATGTGTATAATACTAGTAACTATAATTGAAAACAATTAATCTGATTATAATGAAACTTCAGAGGTGCACAAAACATGGATGATTCCAAGTCAAGTTTCAACAAAATCTGTTGATGCATGACTGAGACCTGAACATGAGTCAAAAAAAGAGTCCTGCCATTTTAAGACAGAAATATGCCAGTTCTGTGAGTACCTTTTTGTCCTTGAAAGTCTTCCTCAGCTCGATATTCATGATGTCCATCAGTGTTACAACAGCACGCTGGTTTGATGCATCTGAGGTTGGTTGCTATAGTAACAACACACGAGTGGATTTGAATCTCAGACCCTCTGGTCAGGAGTCACGACCCCTAACCCCTTGGCCACACCCCCTCTGATGTGTTAAAGTAGTTAGTTTTTAGGAACTTTGAAATTTGATTTTGAGGCCTGTCACAGGCTACTTTTAGAAGAGATTGCAAACCTTGCCACAAGCCACGACAAGCAACAAGCTGATGTTACCGAGGTTATAGACTAACCCGGCAACAGGAATTTAGAAGCCATCACTGAAGGGCTATCCTGTTCGAACATTGGTGGGACGCACGCGTTACATTCCTCTTTGACCAAAAGGGGGTTGTGTCTTGTCAAGATGCGCAAATATGCTCAAGTTAAAACTTGTGTGTTGCGCACATATGTTCAAGTTAAACTCGTGTGCGAGTTTGATGGTCCCGCAGGAATGGCGTCTCCTCGGATTTGTCTACACAAGATTTACATACCTTAGATTGCTGGTCAGACACCTTCTTCAGCTTCACATTCATGATGTCTGACAGTGTAACAAGGGGTCGCTGATCGCCGGTGCTAGCTTGACTGGAGGACTGTCACAGGCAAAGATAGATTCTCATTAAACCTTTGAAAATGTCACTCCGGGATCCTGTGGTGGCAGAGTGACCACACTTACAGGCTGTTTGGCCTTCAGGCCACTGGACTTGCTGCTCTAGGCAGGCAAGCCATGCTGACCTTAGATGCCAATCGATGCATCTGGCAATGCTCCTTGCCAAAGTATCCAGGAAGGTCAGGGCTAATTAGTAGGATTAAGGCTTACAAGAAGAGGGTCGGGCTAACAAACTCTCCCCATGAATGCATGTAAGGATAGACACTGCCCTCGCATCTTTTTGATATCAGTTGGCTTGTTCATGGCAGGTTTCTTCCTTGAAATCCCTCAGCCACTGCATTATTTATGTCTACAAATAACACTATGCTCATGTACATGTATGTCTGTGGACACTGGACGAAGCTGGGACCAAACATGAGGTCATAAATCTGTTCCTGGACTCGGTGTAAGTATCCGGGCTTTGTTAAAAATTAATCCCATCAGTCCAAATTGTCAGCTTTTGAGGTTAGCACTACCTTTGCTGCTCCCTTCTTCTTGAAGACCGGCGCCTTCGTTGGCAGGGTGATTGGAGGAGGAGGTGGTGGGGGTGGTGGGGGCGGGGCTACGGCTGGCACTGGTGGGGGGATGCTCTCCCCAGGCAGCACCCTTCTATTGGCAGTGGGCTTTGGGTTGTGTCCACTAGGTTGCAGTACATGAGATTTGCTCAGATTGACTTGCATTGAGTTTTGACAGTTGCATTTGTAGACTGGAGCTGGCTTGCTGCATTTTATCTGCCACAAGATAAAAAAGTTTGGAAATGTTTACATTTACCAGAAAACTACACGCATGTCCTTTTCCCAATGGTAACTTAATCATTTAAATATTTAATCAATATCCTTCATGTTGAAATGAACTTTACAATAAAGACACAAAAACTGCTTAAGCCAAAGGCACCTAAATGCACCTCAGGAAACTGTCAAATGATCCACATTGGACCACGGAGCATAGCTTGAGATTATGTTCATTCTTTACTGAGGGAAGGAAACCAGAGAACCTGGAGAAAACCTTTCCTGGCACAGGAGAGAACCAACAATGGCCCAAGGAAGGAATTGAGCCCAGGCCACAGTATGCAGAGGTGAGCATTTTACTCTCTAGCCACCCATTCTCAATGAAGAAATGATAATACCAAGTAAGTTATCTTTGGGGAGTGTCTCAAAGCTCAGAAGGATTGGCCATTCCAATAAGGACAGCTTCCTGTCCTGCAAACGCCAGGACCCAATTTCACGACACTAAGTACTGGATTTTACACTAACAAAAGCTCTGTGTGTTTCATGGTGGCAATATTAAGCACAGCAAATGGCACGCTAACCCCACAGGAAAAATTAGCTTAACTGGGTTACGTTACAATGGAAATCTCTATGCATAACTGTGCAATTTTTCTGCTAAGCACACCACAATATGCTCACTGTTAAGCAATTTTTATGCTTAGCAAACCAATCTGCTTAATGCCAAGCAGGGCTGTGAAACCAGGTCCAACCAATACATCAAACAGAAATGCTGCTTGGTGGCATGCTGGAAATACCCACATGCTCCCACTGGGACAGGTGTCATGCTTGATCTAGATCAAGGAAACAAATAGAAAGGAACAACCTCTGGATTTGGTGTTTCTGTGATACCTTAAGCGTCTGCTCCTTGAGTTGTTCTATCTGCTGATGCAGCAGCCGGAGCTGATCTTTGGTTTCTTGAAGTTCCCTCTGGTAGACTCTGGAGGGGAAGACTGCATCTTTCACCCAATCAAGGCTCTAGTTATCAAATGAAATTCTGGGATGAGCAGATTGAAGTGGAGAACAGTACCAAAACTCAATTCTCAAATTGTATTTGTTTGAAAACTTTTTGAGGCTCCTTTTGGGCCTGTGCCAAATATACAAATATTTGTCTGAGTACTTTGGCGAAAAACCTGTCAAGGTCTTGCCCAGTTGCGTCAGCTGTGTGTTCAAACACTCATATTCCGCTGTACATCACCTCGATCCTTTCATATTTACTTATAGACTTGGAATATAACTTAACCACAATGCTGGTAATAAATCTGTGCAATGATTGATTGATTGATTAGCATTGTTACATATACATTATAAAATATACCATATAGTAAAAATCTGTTTGATTTCCCACTTAAAAACATACATTAACACTTTACACATTCATTATTACATACAAACATATACACAAGTAAAATCAAAATAAAGAGCATTAAAATTATTCAGCTCTTCAAAACAACAATAATAATCAACAGCAGCAAACAAACTGGTTACAAATTTCCAGTGAGATCCGTCCCTACTGCCTGTCTAATGGAGCAGATGCATGCAAAAGACTATTACAGTAAGTGCATGTGATGTTCTAATGGCAAAGTTCTTACCATTAAGCAGTACCAACGTGTGTGGCATATAAAAGTGAAATCAAACAGAGCTAGCGTTGCATGAGGACTCCGAGTCATGCGACCATGAATGAGCACTCAACAGCTCCGAACTCATCGAAATCCTACAAAATCTGGCCCTGGATTTTTGGCAGATTGTAGGATAAATAGTACTGCTTCATTCAAGATTGATCCAACTGACCTGAGTGACTTTGTCACTACACCACCTCCAAGCTCCCCCCAGTTCTAGAAGAGGCAGCCAAGACGTGATGCCAATATCCAAGAGAGGCACAGGCACAGGGATGTAGATGTCAGTTTCACTTTCATCCATGCTGCATCTATTTACAAATGAAAAAAAAATTCTTAAGAAAAAAGTCTGTCTTTTCTGTGTGAAAAACAACTTTACAAACATTCATGCTGTTTTGCACATTAGCGATACAAGAAATTACCCACCAAAAATGGAAGCGACTGGAAATTGACAGTTTCGGCACACATCCTGGCCTACCCACTGGACAGATGATCAGGGCAACTATTTGTCCCTTACCCGGAAGAATTCTGCTGTTCTGTCTCTTCTCGTTCTTGTTGTTGTTGCTGCTGCTCAGAAAGTTGGTTCCTCGGATGGTAAGGGTGATGACGTCGACGTCTGCGACGCTTTGCGTAATATGATGGATGCCGGCGTCGATGGTGGGAACCAGCCATATGCGAGATCTTGGCAAGTTAGCGAGAAGTCTGCAGGAGTTAGACTTACAGCAGTTCTGGAACTTGGTGACGTGGGCATTCAAATCAAAGTCATAGCTGAGAAATGAGGGAAAAAAAAGGAAATGTGAATGAATTGTATTCTGAATTGCATCTTGTGAAGGTGTTGGTTACTACTTTGTAAAACGAGAAAACGTGAAGAAATGGAAAAAGTTGAAAACAGTAAGTATAGACACACAATTACAAAGTTAATGAGAAAGATAAACATTTAGACTAATTGTGAATAAAACTAATTGAGAAAGCAGCACAATTGACTTAAAAACAATAACGAAAAATACACACTGACATGAAGAAACGAAAACTAAACAAATCAAACAATTAAACTAAAACCCCAAGCGTAATAACTTAAGAAAGGCATAATTAAGATAATGGATGATGAGATGACAAACTCCAAAGAACTTGGGGTAGGCCTAGGCCTACTAATACCATGCACTCACTCGGTCCATGCAGGAAAGAAACAGAAACGGGTCAAGTCGTCCCCGCGTCAAGTCGTCCCCGGGTCAAATCGTCCCCAAGTCAAATCGTCCCTGGGTCAGGTCATCCCCCACTAGTTCTTACAAGCGTTGTCTGTGCATGTAATTTTCTTTTTAGGTGCATCAACCATACGAAGAAGAGAAGAAAAACAAGACAGAGACTCCTACATGGCAGCTTTCGAAATCTATGGTGACCAAGACGTGCAACATATATTTATTAAAAGGGCCATTCCTGGTGTGCGCCAATGTAAGAGCACATAGGCCAATCGTTTGAATTGTCAAAGCAATTTGAACATCTTTACATTTCAAATCTTCCAGTAGTCATTTCCAGTTTATTTGAATAACTCTCTGAATCAGTAATGTGAGAAATGAATTTTAATTACGTGTATTTTGAATTACTAGGAAAATCAGTTAACATTTTCACTGGATTGTTTAAGAGTATAGTGAAGGAAATCTTGTAGAATTCTATTAAAGTTGTATTTTATAATAAAACTCTTGTAAAATGAAGTTACTTGTAATTGTTGCTTATCAATCAATTAGGGTATAATTGGGGTTCCACATCAGCAAGACTCAATGCGCATGGCCACCCTTTTGACGTTTTGCCGACGGAGGCAGTGTTTCACGGCAGCTTTAGATGTGGCGTACGGGCCGACAACTGAGCTGGGGACACTCTGCGTTGGGACGCACTCTACTTGTCATGCAAATTTTTCTAGGGCTCATTTTCACCCTCAACAAGCTCTTTTCAGAGCCTACACACTTTCAAAAGAGATAATTCAGTCCTGTCTGATAAATGATTATTAAATGAAATAAAAATAAATCACTTAAATAAAATAAATAGAAAAAAAAGTCAATAAAAGAAAAAGAAAAAATAAATTACCCCAGTAAAAACTTGAAAAGTAAAAAAAGAATTAATAAATCCCCAAAATAAATTATTGCAGAAAAAACTTGATAAGTAAAAAATAAAATAGACTATCCCCCCAAAAAATAAGTTGCCGCAGTAAAAACTTGATAAGTAAAAATGAAAATAAATAAAGTATCCCCCCCAAAAAAATAAATTGCCACAGTAAAAATTTGAGGAGTAGGCCCTAATTAAGAAAAAATTATCCCCCAAAATAAATTGTCGCAATAAAACTATAATTATAATTTAATTATTTATACAGGGGACGACTTGACTAGGGGAAGAGTTGACCCGGGACGACATGACTTGGGGACGACTTGACCAATATTCAAGGAAACAACCAGTCCAGTGAATGCCAATTGCCAGCGCCAGTGTGAACTCACCAACAATTACTACTTTGTACATGATATATCATGTACATTGCAACTGCACTTGGCACGGCCCATAATCATGTCATGTAGTTGCCCACATAACCAGTACCTACATCTTAGTTTATTCTTACACAACATCTTACATAAACTTACACATCATGATCACGATCAAAATAGCCTAATGCACAATTTTGTACACAATCATGACGATCAGCAACCGGCACGCGGCATGACGTACCATACCGGCAACCCGGGGCCAAGTAATGAGATGTAACTTTAACTTAAGCTTACCAAATTAAGCAGTATATCTGGGAGATTTTTTCTTGCACTTGATTTACTCAAAGTTATTCAAAACGGCGCAAATTCTTAAGTTTAATTACATTAAACAGAAAACCATTTTCGACATGTTCAACAATTTCAAATCTGCCGCAAGCGCCTGGAAATTAGGTTAGTCATACACCCAGCATAATGTTTGCAAATCGAACGTTGTTTTCAATTGACCCTGGGAACCAGACTACTACAAATATTAAAGGCAGTAAATATCCATCTGTTCTGGAATTGAAATACCGGTCCATCCAGGATATGATGTCACCCCTTTTAATCACATTTTCAGCAGTTTCAAACATTAAGTACTTTTATTTGACTTCACGCCATCATGGGTAGAAATAGATAGCATTTCAAAAGTCCGAGCGCGAGCGTGAACTTCAATACGGGATTGCTCCTTTAAATTGTTCAAACGTTGACTGGAATAGTCGGTGTTAATGTTTAATGTCTTTACACGATACACTCCTTTGAAGTCGGAATACCAAACGACAGGTTGAAAGACACTGGCTATTTTTCAATTCTGGAGTTGTTTAAGAAGCGGTCATAGCATGGAGCTCCATGGTCATAGGAAGCACATTTTACTCCACTAAATGCTGGAAATTATGGCCAAATACAAGATTTTATTTAGTTAAGGGCAAAAATAACAAGTATTTTTATCTGAAAATTCAACATCAAAACCTAACGTGTGTGTTTTTTTCAATCTGAGCCTACCGTGTCACCGTCACGGTGAAAGAATCAAGCCATTGAAGTACATGTAGATGAGGATCGGACGACGTTCGACCCAGGCACACTTACAAGTCACATGACGTCCGGGTATGCGTTCATCATGTGACGCGCGAACACGAAGCTTAGCTACCCAATTTCTGCATTGTGGGCCATTAGAAAGTTTAGTTCATGTACGTTAGTTCCTGGTACTGTTGTTTTAACGTCAAGACTTGCTTTGACGAGTTTCCTGTTGAGGTTGCCTGCGCTGCTGCAGCGTACGTAACTTTTCAACTTGTATATCGAGGAAATGCTGTCACATTTTGTGTAACTTAGAGTATAAGAGGAAAAGCAGACAAGGAAGCCAGGGACAAGGTAGGCCTAATAATACCGATTACTAGAACAGGCAAACACAGATGTGTGAACATAGGCCTATTAAAGTTGAAAAAGGCCTTAAATTTACCATGTCAAATGACATGTGTCTCATTATACTAACGGTCATAGCTTGGAAATTGTAAATCTTTATTTTCAAAGCTGAAGATTTGTTTAGACAGAATCAGCAGAAAGTGGATATTTATTATTTGACACGTTTGACCATGATCTCATCATGATCGGATTTACCCCCAGAACTGTAGGGTTTGTCATCCGCTACCTACCTTCCACGCTCACTCTGATTCCCCAAATTATTTTGTCTATTTTATGGGCACAGCACTTGATGAACAAGTGCAGTGACCAGTGAGGGTTTTGTGACTGAATAAGAAATTTTAAACCATGACAAATCTTCAGCATGTTCATTTGGCAGCAAAGGGATGCATCTCAACTCAGAGTCTTCTGACCCACTGCACCACACCGTCACTTGTTAGTGTTGATCTTTTATGTACATGTACAGGGCATTTGATTTCGAGGCCTACCATCAGCCAAATGAAGCCTTCGGCCAATCCACAGTCAGTCACAAAAGGACGGTTGTCATGGTTAGATGGGCATCACTGCAGCAACACTTCTGTTTTAAATATATTTTATTTTATTTCTTTATTATATTTCTGGAGGGCACACCATCATTTCTGTTTCCAACCAAATGTCCGAAGAAGCCCAGAAATGGAGCCAGGAAAAGAAGCCAGAGCCCACAAGACTACCAGAATTGTTTGTTCTCACCAGGAAATCTCAACTAAATAAATTTCAGTCCCAGTTTCTCAAAATCATTTGTGGTGAAGCTGGCTGTATGTTACAGTATGTGAAACTGTGAACGGAAAATATCCAAAGGCACTTGTCATCACATCCTCGTGATTGCAAAAATGAAAGTAGAGGTAAAGTTAAGAGTGTTTTCATTTCCTGCTGCCCCCTCTGCCAATTTTTGCGGGATACTCCAATGCACCAAACAGGTGCATAACAAGTGCTTCACATTTCCGAAATCCTTCACAAAATTTGTTATCCCTGGTCTACATGCATTCAAGAGGTGGTAGTGCAATGGAAGCATTTGACCTTCTGAACATCATTTAAAAGCCTTATTCTAGGACAAGTCAGTAGATTAGCTTGGCATTAAGGCTCTTGGCTGTGGATATTCACCATTTCAGCTTCAGACACTGCTGTCAGCATGCCGGCCAGCAATGAAATGGAACAGGAACCATTATTGAAGCCTCTAGACCCAGCAGTTGACGATTGTTCACCTAGCTTTGTTGATGCCGACGGCTCTGTCCAGCCCAGGACAGAGGTACAGGACCCTGCAAGGGATCAGCCCATCACGAGCCCTGGCGTGAGGGCTTACATATCCACCATCATACTCTTCCTGATCAACCTACTCAACTACATAGACCGTTATACCATTGCAGGTAAAAACTGTGTGCATTCAGGACAACTTACTGTCGAGTTTTTATCATTGTGGTTGATAGCTTAACTTGGTCCCGTAACTTTCCAATTAAATTTTGAAGGATCTTATACCTGCCAGCCGTTCAGGTTTAATCAAACCTCCTTCAAAGTTTTCAAAGGCCAGTAACTCTGACTATTCAGGTTTTTCCAGTTTTACAGAAGAAAAATAAATTTTGAAAAATGTCTAAAATTGCTCAACCCCACTGCCACAACAGTACAGCCCACTGGGAAAGGTTTATCTCCAGCGGTTATGTCTAAATTACTTGGCTGCGGCTGTAGCGGCTTTGTGTCAAGGTGCCCCCATTGCACACACACTTGGTGTTCTGTTTCCTGACTTTCCAGTGTTGTTAGGTGTGCGATTAGGCCATGTTGTGGCTAGATATCAAAGGATGCAAAAGGCCTTTACCTCTTGTTGTTTAAGCTCATCCATAGATTTAGACCCAGAGTATGCTTGAAATCATCCACACTACTACAGAATATCATTGGCATTGCTTCAACACAATGGTAGGAATCGCTGGAGGTTTTGAAGGATTAAGGTAGTGTTCACCAGTGGTGGAGTCGAGTCCTCAAGTCTGAGTACAGAGTATTCCAAGTACTTCAGGTCCCGAGTCCTGAACCAAGTACAAGTACACTGGTAACACGTCTGAGTCCAAAGCACCGAGTACGAGTACATTCAAGGCCGGGTACTGGACTGAATACTGGGCTGAGTCCAAGTACCGAAGTCCTAGTACAGTACATGTATAATACCAAGAAGGTTTTAAACAAATGTTATGCAAAAGTGGACACATCTACATGGTCAATACTTGCAACACCATGCAACTATCGCCTTTACCTAAGTAGTTAGCACTTTCAACTTTTATTTGTGCAAAAATGTTTACATTTATAAAAAGTGGTAAAAACTTGCTTGAATCAATTCACCTGTAAACATATGTGTTTCTACAGTTGACAATGCTCAAGAATTCTGAACAGTCACACCACTATACACCATACTAGTCAGGTAATCACTACAGGAAAGTGGCAAACAGTGTTATTATATCGCGTGGTAAGCATGCATGGTGCATCTACAGGGGGCGGTGATAAACTTGTGAGGTGGCAGGAAATTTGTGGAAACATGCTCGCTTTAAGTACAAGCAATACAACCTCATGGACACAGAAAATACATAGGTAAGGGATCAAGTTCTGTGAATTAACTTGCAGAAATCTTCTTGCAACATTCATGGTTTTTTTTAACAACGTGCAACTGTAGAGCTGTGTGACGTACATGTATGGTGTAGTAAAAGAAGACTGAAAAGGCAACAGTTTTATTTGAATTTTTCTTTTCTTTTTTATTTTTCCTAACTTGCCAATGAAAATTTTAGGGTCACACTGGAAAATTAGGCTCAGTTGAAAAACTGGAGCCAAGCTTTCAGGCTTGAAATAATTGCATATCAGAAATTGCCAACAAATTCAACTATGACGCTCATGGAGCATGAACTCGTTCGTGTTAGTGCTACAATTTCCGAGAGTTGCACTCGAGTACGAGTACTCCAACACTGGTGTTCACCCTGTCAAGGAACACATTATCGCTAACCCTGCCTAATCCTCCAATATCCTTCTCTGCAAAGTGGAGGAATTTGGAGGATTTAGGGTGTATGGTAAGTGTGGATGGCTGATTTCGAAGGATGCCATACGTGAAGGTCGTGGATTAGACCTTATGTTGTTTGTGCTAAGTCAAGCACAAATTCGGCCCGATATTTCTTTTTAATCAACTGCACAGCTCAAGAGTGCCATTCGCACTGCCTCAACATAATAACAGGAATTACTGGAGGATTTTGAAGGATTTGGGCAGTTAGGCACACCTCCAAATGACATTTTCAAGAAATTTTAGAGGATTTAGGAGGATTTGGGCTGAATGCAATTTTTTGATGTTGAGAATTAGAGGATTTCGGAGGATTCAGGATGGTTCCTAGTAAAAAGGCCTAGGGGGTTAGGGTTAAAAAACTAATTGAAGTTTTTTTACCGTTGAGGATTTATTTAATTTTACATTTAGGAAGTTGGAGGATTTTGGACGACATGAGGATTTTAATTGTAATGACAGGTTTTGCCCTTACACCGATGTATGTTCATCACACTGTATACTCTGTGTTTGTCCCAGAACCTGGAAAAAAATTCACAAGCTCACTTGGGCCATTAAAACAAGGACTGAGGATGTTGATGCATGCCCACAGCACTACAGCTGTCATGGCTCCTGACCTAGGCCGTGTCCGAAACGGGCTTCCAGAGCAATGGCTAGGTCTACTGTCTATGCGTCTCCACGCATTTCCAATGGAACGAAGACCTAGACCTAGCTCTAGATAAGAGATTTGGATGCAGCCTGAGGCTGTGTCCGAAACGGGCTTCCAGAGCTATGGCTAGGTCTATTGTCTACGTGTCTCCACGCATTTCCAATGGAACGAAGACCAAGACCTAGCTTAGACAAGAGATTTGGACGCAGCCTTACTTGTGCTAATGCCTTACATAATCGTATAGTCTGGAACCATGACAGGTTGATGTTGTATCAATACAAAACACTCTAGGCACCACGCAGTATTTTCCTTCCAAACCAATTTTGTTCCAGTCATGAGTGCGAATCTAAGGATTAATTTTCAATGACTTCAGTAAAACTTCCTGAGAAAGTGGGTTCCAATGGTCTCATCTCTGTTTTCACAATTTACAAATTCAATTTTCCTTTGTGCAGCTAATTTGATAGCAATCCAGAAAACATATTGCATTGACGACAACAATGGAGCAGCTGGCCTGGTGCAGACGGCTTTCATCATTGGATACATGATAACATCACCTATGTTTGGTTACCTTGGCGACCGCTACTCTCGCAAGATCATCATGTCCTCAGGGATTCTGTTTTGGGCAGGCATGACATTGCTGGGCTCTTTCATCCCTGCTAACGTGAGTTCTTACATTATGTCAGGGTTTTTTTCCAAAGAAGAAGTGCAACCCTCTAAGTGAAGAGAAGTCAGCTCAGTGTATTTCAGAAAGTGATGCATGCACTTTTTGAGTAACCCTGAACATTTTGGATTACCCTGTAATTTGCAAAGCAGCGTGTTTGCCTTGAAAGCAGCTGCTATGAAATTTTTGCTTCTCTCATTTGTACTTACTTATAATTTGGGGATTTTTTTTTATTTCACTATACAGATGTTCTGGTTGTTTGTCCTCGTCAGGGGCTTAGTGGGAGTCGGTGAAGCCAGCTATATCACCATCTCGGTCACCATCATTGGCGACCTGTTTGTTGGTAACCGGCGTACTCAAATGTTGATGTTCTACTTCTTTGCAATACCAGTTGGCAGGTACGCTAGCGGACTCAATAAATGATTGTACACATTTCAACCTTCTGCGGGGGTTTTGAGGTTTTTATTGTGCATGTACAGTTGAACCTTGTTTATAAGAGGTCCTTTGGACTTTGCAAATTACTTTGTTATAACAGGAACCTTGTATTATCAGGAATGAAAACAATGAAACAGAAAGGATTGGGACCTAATAATTTCCTTGTCTTAAGCTGAATCTTATATTAACAGTGCTCTTATTAACGAAGTTCGGCTGTATGTAAAAAAGATGGGGGCCAGACGTATTTCTAGACTGTAGGGTTTTTGTTTTATTAAAGGAGGCAATGCCAGGGACAAAACGAAGTAAACTTAGATTAACTCGTGAATCAAGCACAGCTAGTGTTCTGATTATTGGCTGGTAAATAAGAAACTGGCTTTAGACTGGAAAAAAAAGACCTCTGGGAAGCTGATCTTCTGTCTCTGAGCCGTGATACTTGGTTACAACATTTTACCGCTTGATTTTCTTTTGACTGTTTCAAGTTTGCCCTCCAAAATAGATAAATGTTGGTCAAACTTGCATCTCTCTTTTTTCCCCTCTTGGCCCAGTTAAACATTAGGAGATGTTACAATCTGAAAACAAAAAGAAAAGAAAGAAAGTCTAGCCTAATTGCTTTATAGAACTTTGGCGTATTTGTTGTTGGTTGTCTTTAGTGGACTGGGATACATCGGTGGTAAAGGAATTGCTTCGGCCTTTAATGACTGGCGATGGGCTCTCAGGGTGAGTGCAGAAGATGTCGAATGGGATAGATTATATTGATTGAAGCCACTCAAAGGGAAAGAAATGCATTGACAGGAGATACTCAAGGGGTATTCATTGAAGATACCCAAGGTATCATATAAGGATATTTGAGTGGAAATATTTAAGGGCTTATAGCATATTGACCAGGGAGACTCAAGGTG